AAAAAGCTTCTTAGATGTTCCTATTTTAGAATCATTAATCCTATCATAATGACTTCATTAAATTGACATGACGTTGGAAAATGTTGAGACATATTTACTGTGTAACTCTTATACATTTTTTGCGCAAATTTTACTTATCTTAAATATATGGAAATATATTACATGCTTTAAAGAAACATATCAGTGAAATATAACACTGATATATTCACTGTTTTGAATTGAATCAGCCCTCCCCCTTAAGCTTTTCCTTTAGTATTAGGTTAAAATGTCTCTTTAAACGTTTCTTTGCATATAATAAAAAGGGAAATTTGTTTGCTGCGCCACTCGTGAAATATACCTTTTGGTGCTCACTAGGTGAAGTATATTCTGATCTTAAACTGAACTAGACAAATATATAATTAATAGCGTTGCATGAATTAACTTAGTTAAATTATTGTTGTTTCTTTTTCTTCTTTTTTATTATTTATTTCCACTCTTTTCATGGTTAACATTACACAGTGAGGCAAACATTTATAGAAATACAAAGTGAGTCACGCAAATTGATAGCAAAAGTACTGTACAAATAAATACAATGCGAGGGAAGTTTCGAGGACCGAACTGGGCAAGAGGGCAGAAAAGGATGGATAACATATATCATAATTTGAGAGAAAATAGGAAAATTTACAGATAACGGTTCCTTATTATAATCATACTTTTAAGCAGGAGACAAAACAAGAGCTGTAACAGGAGACAGCGAATCTCGACTAATGAAATAACTTTGGACGCAGTAAGGAGGACAAAACTATGAAAGAAAAATCAATTATGTATAATTATGTATTAATTCATAGTCAAAAATAACATTTGTTAACATGAATTCCAAGATCAAAGGGAATAATTCTAGAAATAGTCACGCTAGAGTTGAACCTTGTCACACAACATGTGTGTAATGATAAGAAATATATATTTGAAGTTTGAAGTAGATACCTAAAAATTAAAGAAGTTATAACATTTCTTAAAGAAAATCCTAAGTTCAAAGAGAGATAAATCTGTAAATATTGCTTCAAGTGTTATGAACATTGTCTCATAAAATGAAATTGATGATAAGGAATAAGTATTTGAAGTTTGAGGTAGATACCTTTAAAACTAAAACAGTTAAAGTAAAAAATAATATTTTTCTAGTAAAAAAAATCTAAGTTTATGGGGAGATAATTCTTGCAATATTGGTGCTAGAGTTATAAACCTTGACACATAAGATGTAGATGATAATAAGGTACATATATTTGAAGTATAAAGTTGATCCCTTTAGAAATAAATAAGGAACAGTAAAAATAATATTTTTAAAGGAAAATTCTAAGTTCAAGGGGTGATAAATCTAAAAATATTGGTGCTAGAGTTCTGAACCTTGTCACATAAGATGTGGATGATGATAAGGTACATATATTTGAAGTATGAGGTTTAGCCCTTAAGAAATAAAGAAGAAACACATGTAACAGTAAAAAGTAGTATTTTTTAAGGAAAATTCTAAGTTCAAGGGGAGATAAATCTGAAAATATTGGTGCTATAGTTATGAACCTTCTCACATAAGATGTGGTTGATGATAACGAACATATATTTGAAGTTTGAAGTTGATACCTTAAGAAATGACAAAGTTGTGGTGAAAAATATTTTACTGCACCAAAACTTTAATCTGAAATCTGGACGCGGACGCCGACGCCGCGGCGAGTATGCCAGCTCTCCATATACTTCGTATAGTCGAGCTAACAAAAACAAAACAAATTTCAAGACATCAAGACATATTTTGTCCTTTTTTCTGCCTAGTAGTTGCATATTGATAAAATTATAGAAACTGAAAGTGTAATAGTCACATGATGTAAATGACAAAATTATTTAATAAGGCGAAGTGTAATGACAAAATAAATATATTTAAATCACAAGTAAACTGACTTTCGTCTGTAATAAAACTTACACAAGTAATGCACCATGAGATTTAATTGAACGAACTTTTATAAATATAGCAAATATGAACGCGAAAAAAGATTTACACCAGACAGTATGTTCTCGAAACGGCCAAATAATATTCAAAACTTTAAGAGGGTCGTTTTCGAATGTTCTATAAGAATCCCCGCCTTGGATACAGTATTCTATTTTATTAAGTTTAGAATAACTTATGAATTCTCAGGTAATAAATGACTTCTAAAAATGCTGATTCCACTCAGGTCTTCCCATTGTGATTCAGAAAGTCAAGGAAAAAACAAATAGCCTGCAGTAGAAAAAAAGAGTCTGTTATACAATTTTCTAAATTGACAAACAAAAAGGTTTTAACTGAAATGAAATATTAGGCATATGAGCGTTTACTTATTGCTTAAAATCATAATAGCAAACAACTTTAGAAGTATATTTATCTTATAATGATAGACGAATAACGTCAACGAAATATATATTACCCAAAGGCTAGTATATAAAATGTAAGGTTGACGTTACACGCCACTACAGCATCACAAAGTTTATGCAATGATGACCTCAATATGCCAGCAGAGTTATGGCATGGTATTACAATAAACATTATCTTATATTGCTCTTTAATACCCAATAATTTGCCTCCCTCGAGTTATTTGATAAATGTCTGCCGTCATGTCGCGCGTATCATGTTTATCAAATGTTGAATTGTCAATTTAATTACCACGCCAGAAAACATTCATCTAAGATCTACAAACATACAATTATATATTACTGTTTGGCATTGCAACAATAGATTAACAATTATTGATGTTAGTTTGCAGGAATAGATTGATAATATTTGTTAGTTTTGCATGTCAGATTGAAATACATTTGACAGGGCGAGCAACATATGCAATATTACTAAGAGTGGCGTAGCCACGAGTGTAACATAGAACCTGTTGTTCGTGAGTGAAATATAATTTAGTCTTACATTCAAAAGAAATAATTTTTCCTTTTATTTTATTTTTTTAGTTCAAGTTATTGTGACTGATTTTGCCGCGTAACATGCACTTTACTTCATGACGTCATCAAACGCTACAGTCTTCATATTTAAAAATTATTCTGTAAAATTTCTCAAATTTTGTTAAATAAAGATTTTTTTTGTTAAAATAGTTAAAACATTCTGGTCAGTTTTGTGTTATCAAGCACGTTCACTTACCACGGAATGCATTTCTGACAAAATTTCAATCCTTTTTTCATTCGTTCAATTTTATTATTGATACAATTTTAAACATATTTAAATGATGAAATTTGTTTAGAACTTAATTTTTTGCTGGCTTTACATTCAAGTAGTTTAGGATTAAGGATTAAAGAGGCGTTCCACCACGAAGAATGAACTTATTTATCATTGTCTCAAAATATGATTAGTCTTTGGATTATCGTGTATACTTAAAAATAGTCAACTTTATGTATTTTAACATTTGTAAAATGACTCAAATAATAACAATGTTCAGCAAATGAGACTACAATAATCTTGTTGTCGATATATCATTCTTAAATACAACAATCTGGTTTTGCTTACTTTTTCCCACATTTACCCTTTAAAGTATTAATGGTTGCGTGAGAAAGATGATGTCAGGTTTTAGTGAAGGTTCTTGCACGCCATTATGCCTGCTATGGTCAGTAATTCCGTAAAAGGTTAAACTCATAATCGGTGACATGACAGGAAAATGTGTCTCCCTGTAATCCACAGTATGCTAACCAGTTGTGTCTTCCGAAATCCTGTTTTGTCAGGCCTGTAAAGAATTTAACGTAGAAAACTGTATAACAAGACACTTCATGTAAACTTTGTTTAATTAATTGCGAAACGAAGACATCAGGAATATACATTGTGTATTCATACATGTTGAAAAACATATGTTATAGTTATAGCTTCAAAATATTAATTGGGTATTAATGAAACCTAAATTTATATTTTAGAATTGCAAATTATGTATGTCCGATGATGTAAAGAGTGAAATTAACTTCCGATTGCGAAGCAATTCTCATAATTTATTTTTTCTTTTATATAATGTTATGCATTTATTTATTTATTTGATTGATGTTGATATTGTCGAGCCAGTTTTATTCCGTTGTTGAAACTTTCACAACCTTATTTCTCGATGTTGACTATTTATATACATGCCGTTCTGACATGTAGTTTTATTCCGTTGTTGAAACTTTCACAACCTTATTTCTCGATGTTGACTATTTATATACATGCCGTTCTGACATGTTTTTAGGAAGTGCTATGTAACACATGGTTAGTTACCATGATATTGCCGGATACTTGGTACCTGTAGAGAGTACTATAATGATGTTCTATAATCTTCTAATATTAAAAGTATGTTCATATTGGTATATTTCATACAGATGAAGCAGAATTTAAAACATTTTGGGTCGGTTTGTAATTTTAGAATTCAAAAGGAATACTACGAACGGATGGGATAAATATTTTTATTAAATAAATTCATCGATTCAAATTCAAGATGTCTTTATTTCAAGTTTATGAGTTTATGGTTTTAGCTCAATGAATTCAAAATTTCAGATGTTGAACTTTACAATTTCTACTCTAGAAAATCTTCTTCGTGAGTTAAAGAATTTCTACTTCATTAATTCTTCTTCGTGAGTTAAAGATAAAAACTCGATTTAATTTAGCACATTAATTTCAAAAGGTCAAATTGATTACTCATTCACAAAGTTGATATCTTGAAATCAGGAATCGTAAAGTTGAAATAGTATTTTTTTTAATTATTGAGGCTGAATTTCATTTTGTGAAAAAGTTGATTTGTGTAGTTGAAAATTTGATATCTTGGAGTCGAAAATGTGATTTTTGAAATTGAAATGTCACCACTTTCGAAGAATACATGTAATAAAATTAAATGAGTAAATTATTATTCTGGATAAAGTATATCGTTTATTATGTGCACACAAAGAAAGATGATTTACCTGAAAATGATGGAACGTGTATCAGTCTTGTAATATAAAAATATATTTGTTATTTGTAACTTTATAAAAATGTCCATTTTTACCTTTCATTTCAGAAATGTGCTGATTATGATGTCTCCAACAAGGCAGAGTTTCCTACCTTTGCTCGAACATTTCCACCTGCAACACAGGTCGCTAAACCAATTATATCACTACTTCTGCATTTCAACTGGAAAAAATTCACACTTATTTTTGGATCGCTTCATAAATCAAAGGTTATTGCCGAGAAAATACGGGAGCTTGCAGCTCAGAATAATATAACAATAAATGATGAACAAACGTTCAATGAGCCTCATATACCACTGACTATGGGGAACCCATTCCCTGGAATAGTTGAAAGAACATTTGTTGATACGAGAGGTGAGTACATTATGTGAAAAATTCAAATTTTGAAATTTTGTAGAGTTATATACATGCATTCTTTCTACAATATATATCTGTTGCACAACAGCTAATACATAAATGGCGATAAATGAACTTCATTCTCAATTTAGAGAAACAAGTATTTTGCATTTTAAAGAATAAGTCTTAATTTCAGCCAATGACTGCCATCGAATACAGGTCCTCTGTTTTCATTACCTATTCAAATGAATGCAAATACCAATAAAGAAAATGTCCAGTATATATATAGAAATAAACATTATACAACAGAAGCTGTCAGGGTAAATGTGAACAAATGACATTCAAATGTCTACTCGTATTCAAGTGGCAATACATTTAAGTCATTGTGTAGACAAATGTCGAACACTTGATCCTTGTAATATTTGTAGACAGACTGTTCTAAATGGAGTCTGATTTGATTTATTCCAGATTGCACACTGAGTATAATGAGGAATTTAATTATTGATGTATTTATTTATAATGCCATACAGTATACATGCATACGCCTGTCATTTCCATAAAGTTCATTTCTTCTGTCAAAAAATATGTAAACCAATATTATGTAAAAGGAGTATATTAATCACTGAAACACAGTACGAGTGCTAGGGGAATTAAAAGCACCATTCATTATCTCACATCAAAATCGAGTGCGCAAGTTTCACTTTCTATTTTGTTTTCGAAAAATAGTGTTCCAATCCATGTAAATTACAATAAAAAAGTCGCCGAGCAGGAAAATGGTGAAAAGAAAGCAAAATCAGTCCTTATTCGCACAAAAAACACTTGAATAATGCATCCGTTAACTTTTAATTTAAAATCGAGGTCCATGGTTATATCATGAGCTGTTAAAAATATGACCAAAATAAAAATAGGTTATCTAATAAATTTTCAATGTGCCGATTTCCTTTTGTCATGCAAACACGCCTTTGGTAAGCGGACGGCAAGCGCTGACGCTTTTTTTTTCTGTTATTTTCTGTTTTCATCATTTATGTCCCTTTCTAAAGCGTGCAAATGTTCATAAAAATGCGGACCGAAATGCCATTTTAAATCATCGTTGTATTCTGACAGAACGCTGTTGTTTCCTCTTACACCTCATGAAAGAGAAGTTGTGTGCTTTAACCCATTACTTCATGAGCATTTTGTAAAAAATAGCTGTTTTCATTGAAAAGCCTCCTTTTACAAGTTCAAAATGCTATGAAACTATAAAAAAGGCTTAAATACTGTTCAAACTTGGAACAAATGTTAACAGGACCATAGCCTTTGTAACGCCATTTTTTTTTCTTTTCTTCTTGATACCATGGCTACGAGGGGGCATCTCAAAATTGCCAAAAATCACTATTTTGCGATAATTTTTTCATCAAAACTGTCTTTAAAGTGTTACAACTTCTCATTGGATTGAGAAATAGTTAAAGGCTTTCAGCGTTGGTTAACGTTACCTTTAGGTTGACCTGGAGCCATTTTTAGCCTCTCTCAAGTCTAAACTCATTTGGAGATGAACCCCTAAACAGAAGGGGGCACATCCCGCTCTAGCAACCCTTTGATGTAAAATGTATCTGTTTGATAGTTGATGGCGCCGAAAAAAAGATCTCTCTTTAACACCAATTCTTAAACGAAAGGAAGTATTTTTTTGCCAAAATAGGTCATCTTTTACATTATTTTAGGCCTCAAAAAGGAAGGGGTGAAAAGACGTCAAAACACGTCTATATGAAGAAAAGGGTTAAAGGATTTCCCGCGCGCCTTTCAGGAATTAATTGCTTTCTTAGGATGACGTTATTTAATATTAGTTATAAATTAAGGTGTAAAGTCATTCGCTTCTGTTAGGAAAATATGATAAATGAAAGTATATTCGTTTTCGTAATTTCTTTTCGAAATATCATTAATTTGTTATATGCAAGAACAAGAACCAAACACCGGAAGTCGTCACAGACAGCTAGCTCTCGGGAACCTATTAAGCAAAACTGCTGCAAAGAGTAATCCTCAGATAATAGAATGCTAGATTTAGCGCAAGCTTAGTGACATTGTTGATAGCAATATGACTACGGACTCGGTCAATATCACTTCCTAATGACTGACAATAATTACACGTTTGCATTATTGTAACTAAAAGAGAATGTTTATTCGTTTAAGTGAAATGTAAAAATTATATTTTCTCAAAACATGATAACAAGCGGCATATTAATCTAAAGATATTATTATAATTAGTGATAATTTGGTTTTGACTCCACATACTTTCATATTTTTTCCATAAATATGAAATTAATTTAAATGATATAGCACCATATTTCATGGGTAAAATTAAATAAGATCAGAATATAACATTTTTTTCCGAATCAGAATTAACGGACAACAATAAACTTCTTTCCCTACACTATCTGAATGCTGGATTGTATAAACTGTTGTTGTTTAGAGATTTAGGGGCAAAGACATTATAATTTATATTTTCCGGGACTTGTTACAAAACAAGACATTGTAATACAAATTATACAAAACTATTTGGAAACGAAAAGCTGCTTAAATCGTTAGGAGTGACACAGAGGTAAATGAACCATGAGAAAAACTGTTGAACTAACAACAAACAAAACTTAAAAAGGAAGGGTTAAGGAAGCCAGTCAGATTTTGTCATCTTTCAATTGACCATCACAATCTTTATCTTCTATATGATTATTTAGAACATTTGTGCAAGAAATAAAGGTGACTGATCGCCTGAATTTGTAAGTTAATTCATTTTTAGCTGCAAACCATGTTTTTCACGCAATTCATACTAAAAAGTTAAATCTGCACATATTTCTTCATTAAAGATTTTTTTTTTTCAAAATTTTAATTGGAAAACAAAACTCAAGGTAAAAATGCCGAAAAAAATAATGGAAATATAAGTTTTGCTCCAAATGTTGTTTGATCAAAGTCTTGATTTACCTTACTGTAAATGACTACACTTCAGAAACAAGTTCTGCATTAGGAATATTATACCTTATACATACCTTTGTATGAGAACCATAAAAAACAAAACATACATTATCTAGTAAACCTCATGTTGTCTACACACGGTGTGCATAGGAACCTATTAAACTATTGAAAACTATAGAGACGCCTGAGGGATGGCATTTACAAATTTCGGAGGAGAGAATATATCGTATAAAAGACGATTACAAAACAAACAAAGAAACGTTTTGGCTGTTATACGTGTTTGTTCTAATATACATGAACAATACTACACTATTTTCTTGGAAATATACATTGCATTAGCGTCTAAGTGATGACATGTTACTTGATTGTTGGTATGTACCTTGAACATTAAATTGATATGGAGTAAACAGGATACAAGATAAGATAATCTTTTTCACTTTAATATATTTGCACGTTTTTCAGCAAGCGCACGGTAGCAAAATTACCAAGCAAACATAATCATTACGCTAGAGTTATCGCAACAATAACAATAAAATCGCCATTAACAAGTTATTCTTGGCACTTAACGATCATCTTTATCGACTTTTTTGACGCCTTGTGTGCCCGCATCTTTTGTTGTATTAACATTTCACATCGTATCATCTTACATTCTGCGAACTGAATTCAACTTTCTTTATAATGTTTTGTACTCTTTTATCTGATTTAATGACCAGAGTGATCCGGTCAGTGCCAGAAGATTAAGTTAAAAATGTACATTAAGGAGTGGTATAATAACTGTTGCTCAGAGTATTATGTCGACATTTATCTCATATATGAGAACAAAATAGTGTTAATGAAGTTACGATGTATCAAATACATTTAAAGACATACGTTGAAAAATATATATCTGATGTAAGTTTTAAAAGCAATTGTATCAATTTTAAGATTATCACTTTTTTCCTGACAAATCTTTTGTATCTGTCTTACTTGAAATAATATTATTTTGACTATGAATTTTTCAAATGTTCCAATCTGTCAAAGGGAAAACTCTTTATTATTTTGACTACTAAGTTCTAAATTAGTTTAACATATTTTATTCATAATCATACACAGTACATAATATACAATCATTCAATATATTCAATGATGAAATGGATTAGAACGAAAAATATAAAATCTTATATAGTTATTCTCCGACTCTATTTTGAATTTACAACAAAGTGATGGCATCAATCTACTGAGACAAAGTGTATGAATTCATATACATATATTAGATATACATATGTTAGAGAAAAAAACCTTAAGGATACATACATATTCAGACATATATAATAAATTGGGGGAATTAGCTGTAATTATAACGTTACCCTAGCACATTAAGAACTGACTTGCTTTGTCTGGTTCTGGAGAATACAAATTTAATGGTAAAAAAACCGTTTGTGATAATGAGTACAAGATGTTTCAATAAATCATGTTTCGAACCTCTTACTTAGTTTGATATATTTATGAACTGCAGAAAATATAATTCCATTTGCTTCAATTGATTTGGATTCCGTTCCGAACAAGATGATCTCTAATGAAGGAGCTATAATATTTGATACTGTATTAAACAGAATACGTCTTATGTTATCAAATCTTTGACATTCATAAAAATAGTGGTAGGTTGACTCAATTTCACCACACTGACAAAGGGGCGATTGAACAATATTCTTTAAAAATAAATGTTGATTGAGAGAGCTGCAATTTCTCCGGAGTCGCGTGTGAAGTATTTGATATTTCCTGTCACCGTAATAGAATAAAGAATTGCTTTTGCTACTTCCCTGATTTAGGAGAGACTTAAAGTTGTTTAATGAGTTTGCATTTCTTACATTGAGTGGTAACTTATTCCATTCTTTTAATGTTGAAGGAACAAAAGAATTAGCGTATAGAGAAGTTCTTGTAGGTATAATTTGGAGATTTGTTGAGTTACGAAGATTATACTGACTTGTTTCACCTACTGATTTAGGAACAAGATTACACAGATATTCAGGAGAAATCCCATTTACCATCTTAAAGAATAAAATTAATTTATGTTTACGACTGCGCTCAGCAAGACTTTC